TTTTGCGGATTTTCCAATCTTTAAGCTTTGTCTAGGTAAAACAGCAGCCGTCAGCTGCCACAAAGGGGGGGAGGGAGGGTGGTCCGAGGTAGTGTGCATATAAAGCTGCATAACTTTGCATTATCAACAGCGTTGCCTCTCACACCCTTCCCCGCAACTCTCCCCTCTCTTATGCAACTGTGGGCCGTGTGTTGTGCTCCTGTTTGTGCTTTGCATGCGTGCAGGTTTTCATTTTTCATGCACTGCATAAATTGCATGCCTTTTCCCTTTTTACATGGCATGAAAACAAAGGAGCACAAGAAAGCACAGCTGCCAGTTTTGGGCATCGCACATTTTATACTCTTGCGGACATGTGAGAGAGTTCTGATCATTTTTAATAGGAGCTTTTGATGTAATGATAGTATAATAATATATAATATATAATCGAATGTGGACAAGATTTTGTTCAGTTTAAAGCTTTTATTTGCCAACTTTTGTCAACATATATTGTAAGTTGAAAAGTTGTTTAAGCTTATTTCTAGCCACAGAGGTACCTCTAAAAAATATTGCGAGATAAAGAGCAAAGAGAAAGGTATAAAAAAAGACAGAAAAAAAAAAGGAAAAGTATAACTTATCAGAACGTAATTGTTAACAGATCATTTCTATGGCATCTACATGATATATATAGTGTTCCGATCCCGATATATGGAGTTTCTTCTTACTCCTTACCAAATTTCATGACGATGGCCTTAAGACTGAAACTTTAATTAGCATAGGACTAGAAATGGCTATATAAATCGGTACTAACGACATTAAACTATCCAATCTATTAACGATGTTTGTATAAGTTAAGATCAATCATTTAACTTGGTTCTTATAATTTAAATCTAATTAAATACTTTTGCATTTCTCAAAATTCCGAAGCAAAGAGCAACAACGAACACACATATTCAAAATTAAATTTTAATCTAAAACATGATTATTTATTTTATCATGTGTTATATTGATATATCGCGAGCTATTCGCCCATTGTATGGTTGCATTTGATATATGAGTATATTATCAAATGAGTATATTAGCTGATGATAAATTCGACCAATTCTGTTTTTATTACCAAATACTATAAATATATATGCTTTATCGGCTATTGCACTCTTCATGACAAAATTGGAATAGACTCTGAAGGGTATTAAAACTTGCTAGTAGCTACCCCTTTTCTTTGAGCGCTTTTCCCTTTTCTTTCGTCATGTGCGCTATGTTTTCGCATTAGTGACGGAATGCCAGAGCATAAAAAAAATACAAGCCACCCTTGGGGCAGGCGCTGTGTGCGTGTGTGTGTGTGTGTATGTGTGCGTGTGTGTGTGTGTGTGTATGTGTGCGTGTGTGCAGTGCATAAATTTTTGGGCAAAACAATGCGCTGGAAAATTTCTAAAACAAACACGCGCCATTCAAGTGGGCGACTCAATCAGTCGGAGCTAACTCCAGCCCCCGCACACTCGAGTTTGCCTCCCCAATTTGCAATACTGCATCCAATCAGGCATTCATACTTAACAAAACCCCATTTCATGTGTTTGCTTTTTGTTTTTTCTGTTTTTTTTTTTTTTTTTTTTAGAGAGGCTGGTGCGGTGGTTCTTCTAATTGTTACGAGCATTTTCCTGTTGGACTTGGCACGCGTTCGCCGTCTGTCACCCAACCCCCATTCTCTCGCGCTCTCTCTCTCCCTCTCTCTTGAAACTCTCTCAAAAGTCTTTTCACTCTGCGCATGCTCAGCAGCTGCTCAGCATTTCATTTCGTTTCATTTTCATTTCGTTTCATTTCTCATTTCTCATATCTCGTTCTTTCTCTCTCCACCCTCGCTCTCCCTTTTCCCTCTCTCTGACTCCCTCCCTGTCTCTCTGGTGTGTATTGGTGTAGCATTTTAAATGAATGAAAAATATTGTCGTAAATTTCTTGTATTTGGCTTCCCAGGAAAAAAAACTAAAAAAAAATGAACAGAAACTAACCTCAAACTATGCCGACGCCTACGCCAAGTGCAACGCATTGTCAAGTGTTTTTAGTTGGGTTCCTCTCCTGCTAAATGAATTATGTTTATCTGGCATTTATGTCCTGGCGCACACAAGTGGCCTCACAGGCACTACCAACCTCTACATACATGTTTGTATTTCTTTTCTTTTTTTTTTTTTTTGGTTGCCTGTGCATGACACACATGAACTCGCGTTGCAAGAGGCAGCAACCGTAACAATCAGTTCTATGTGCAACGCATACGAGATTGTGCGGCAACCCCTCCCTCTGTGAGAAACTAGATATACTTGTAGCTTAGGACTATTGATTGGGTTTAGTATGCGAGTGCTTGGGATAAGGATAATGATTTTCGGGTATGCTCTCAAGTGGCTTGCTGAGTTTTACAAAATTGAGCCACTTAAGAAGCGGGCAGTGTTGGTGAATGTTCACAAGGAACGCATGCTTTCAACCTCTTTGAAGTTCTCAGAAGTGAGAAGTGTTGGTAAACTATGGACAATGCAAGCTGTGTTAAAAAATTCATCATTTTGACTTAACTCAAGCCTTAAGTCGAAATTTGCTTGGCTTAAATTTGTTAGTGTTGGTAAATGATAGCTAAGGGAAAGTCTGTTTACATAAGTTAATTTTTTAGTTAACATCTTGTTCAATAAAAAATCCAGAACATTCCACTATATCTACCTTCTGAAAGTGTTGGTAAACGAAAGTTACATAATACTTCGATTAAAGTAGTTGCGATTCATATTCTACCTGCAGCTCAACAATTTTCATCAACTTTTAACTGCCTGCACTTAAGAGTCGCATGCATAATTAATAGGTTCATTCTCCTCTCGCATGCGTTGAGGAAATCAATAAAATTTTAATGAAAATCATCAACAGAAAAGCATATAATGCGAGCAAATGAAACAGATGAAGTGCGACAGTTGATGCAGTTGCAACATGAATGCATTTATGAAAAATTGTTAATCAACTGAACAGCAGGCTGAACAACGCAAAGCCCCAGCCTAACCCCAAAGGCGGCGCAATCCCAGAGCCCAGACCCAGACCCACACTCAGAACCAGACCCAGCTCTGCTGCCTGTCACAATTAGCGAGTGCAACGCGGAAAAAATGCAGCAAATGAAAAACAAAAACAAGTCAAATTGGTTCAGTTAAGAGTGCTCAGCTAGGATATACCCAGGCCTGAAGTGGCACAACTAACAGAGATGGATTTATTAGACATTTACGCGAAAGTTAGACAAAACAATTTAAAACAAAAGTGCTCTAGTCGGGAATGCTCGACTAGTTGATACGCTGAATCTTCTTCTTCTTCTTCAGGCATAAAATGAAAGATACTTTATCTGTTAAGAGTGATGAGTAAAAATCAGATTTCGATATCGATTTTAATCGATTGCTTAGAAACAGGACAAATTATCGATATCGAACTGATGCTGCGTGGCTTCTCAGAGAAACTACGTTCTCTAAGTCTAAGTCTCTTGCTTTTATAGATTCTGCGATCCCCGAGATCTTCAGATTGACTAATCTCAAGTAGATGCTTCATTTTCGCCTATTACATGCTCTTTTCAAAGTGAGTACGTCCCTTTTGGCTTTGTTTTACAGGGTATTTAGAAAAAGTAAAACTACAGCAGACGTTTTTTTAAACTGTTACATTGTAGATTGTGCTGGGCTGTGCAGCGAGCGCATATTTTTCAACAATTCATGAGCTTGTCTGTGAGTTAGTTGAACTTTTTTGCGAGTCATGTCAAAGTCGCATCGATTCGAGGCATGAAGAATTGCAACGGACAACGTGCCATTAACGAATCAGAACGAGAGACAGAGAGAAGAAGAGTTCAACTGACAGTCAGTCAGTCAGTCAGTCAGGTAGGCAGACATTTGATTGGCAGTGCAGTTTGAGTCCCTGGCCATGTTTGAAAGGATTCAATATTTGCTTATTGAGCTACGCTTGAAATGACTGGCCAACAGCAACAATGGCCAAATGTGTTGACCAGGCAACTGCCTGTCTGCGTCTTCTGCCTGCACTGATTTCCTTTGTACAGCTCGCTTCATGCGTAATTACTTGTCATGACAACCAAATATTTGTATATACCCATTTGCCACAAAGGATAGCGTCGCCATTTGCCTTTTAATTGTGAGTTTTCATCAAGTGTTGCAAAAACTCTGGTCTCCTGAGGCCGCACACAAAACACTTTTTCCCCCCAACGCACACAAATTTCTGTTGACAGTCAAATTTGTCGAGCATTGAAATTTTGTATTTTATTTTGTATCTTAATTGATGTGGTCATGTGAAAAACCAATAAAAGTTGCTTACCACAAAAAAAAAGTTTCTTACAATTCGCTTGAGCATTGAACGTTTTCCATTTTGATGCTTCATTATTTTTGGCATTTGAAAATGTTATTTAATAGTTTTTCCCGCACAACTTCATATGAGTTTAGACTATTTCCTGTGCCCATAACCCCTATTTCATTAGCTACAAATGAGCTCCCATTTCATTGCTCAACTCATTTAGTTTCATTAATTGCCCAACCTAAGTTTAGCTTCGTCTGTTGCGTCTATTAATGGATGTCTGTGCGTTCAATTTTCAAAATGTCTTCACATCGCGACATTTAAATATGTCAGCTCCTAATTATGACAGTAAAGTAAGAAACCAGCTACAAAAACTGGCAGCGCAATTTTAAAAGCACTTAAGAGAAGTAGCAAGACATATTCCACACCAATTCTTTGATCATTAAATTGAAATAGCAAAACTATCGATAAAAATGTCGATACTATTGTGAGCTTTCGATATTAACAATCAAGTCTATCTATTAGAAAATCTATCGAATATGCTTAACAACGATACTTTTCTGGGAATAGTTCGAAAAGTTTACATTTAATTAGAGAATATTTTAAAGATCGATTATCGATTAAGCTGCCTATCGACTATCGCAACCAACGTATATTGTTTATTGTGCAACACTGGCGCAACGAAATTATTTTATTTTTAGTATTTAATGTTCTGCACTCACCATTGTGTCCCATGTTCGTGATGATGACCCAGAAATCGATAGTCTTATCCGGTCCAAGCTCCTCAAAGTCCCACTTCTTCTTCACGCGCACCGCTCCATTTGTTTCCACCGTCACCCAGGGATTATCGTCGCGTATTTTGAACGTTTCCTTATCCGTTTCCTTCTCCAGCTGAAACACGGACTTGCCCTCGGTGTCGCCATCGGCCTCGGTGAACTCGATACGTTTGGTGGGTCGCACAGCGCGCGTAACGCGTCGCTTCTCCCGATGATGCGAATGCTCGTTGACCGCATCGTGCTCCAGGTGCTGCATTATAAATGACACCGGCTCGGGTGCCAGAAACTCCAACAGCACCTTGGCCGGCTGGGCGCTCAGCAGGCTGGGATAGCGCAGATCATGGGCAATTACCTCGAGCAGCAGCTCATTGGTGGTCGGCTCGCCGGCGAGCATTAGCTCGCCCGTCTGTGGCACAATGATGACCACATTGCTGGGTGATTTCAGGCGATAGGCAATCTTGTCGCCATCGGCATCGGTGGCCTCGACGCGGCCCAATATCGCGAAGCGCTGCCAGCTGACGCTGTTGTTGCTGTCACTATTTAGCGCCTTCTTGCCGGCAATGGCAAACTTGTAATCCTGCGACTTGAACACGGGCCTGTTGTCGTTCTCATCGAGCACAGTGATTTGTATCTTGGACACCGTCTTGTCCAGGCCATCCACATCGGAGGCCTCCACGGAGAGATCATAGTGCGAGCGCTCTTCCCGATCCAATGGACGATTCGTGACCAGCCACACGCCCGACTCATCGTCGCCCTCGATGACCAGCGATTTGGCATTCAGCTGGACATTCTGATTGGCGCGACGCTCCTGGAGCGCAAAGGCATCATCCACATTGCCATGGATGATGGTGTAGCGCACCTTCTTCGGCTGTGCCAGCTCCTCATCCAATATGGAGCCACTGAATGCCTGCATGAGGGGCACGCCACGCACACGTGTGCCCGCCGGATGATTCTCGCGCACCTCGCCGCTGGCATCGAGCAGGGAGCCAGAGAAGCGCAACATATCCTTGCGATGCATGACAAATAGCTGCAGATTATGCGTATTGGTCGCATTCGGTGTCTGTTCGACGACCACCAGCTGCACAGGTCGATTCACAAGCGGCGATATGTCCGCCGTGGTCATTACAACGCCATCGTCCAGCACGGTGAAGTACTTGGAATAATCGCTGTCCAGCATGTGATAGGCAGCAGCTCCAGCTCCTCCACCAGCTCCTCCTCTATGATGAGCTGCTGTCCCGTTGGGATGTTGCAGCGGACGCGTCTTGAATTTCTTGATGCTAAAGCCCGGATAGGTGTCATGGGGCAGCACCAGCGACATCTCGCTGTGCCCGTTGCCACCATGTTGAGCGTTGGCCTCCGCCTCGCCGGGACTGCCCGCCAGCATTCTGGCTGCATTTTCGGCAGTCAGTCCAGCAAAGCTGCCTGCCGCCTGCTGTTCGCCAGTTGCTGTCGCCAAGCCAATGTTGCTCAGGTGCAACAGCAACATGGACAGCAGCAGCAGCATGTGAGTTATGCGCCTGGTGGCAGGTAACGGGATGCTGGTCATACGTTGCCTTTGCGGTTGGAGTCCTCGCATTGGGGGCGCCAACGGGCAACGTCGTGCCGCCATTTTGGTTGGGGGCACGCGTTGACTTGTTATTGTTGCTGCTGTTGTTTTTGTTGATGCTGATTTTCTTATTGTTTATTTGGAGTTAATTATTAAATTGAACGCCGCGTGGCCTCTTTCGGGTTTTGTCGTTTTAATCGCTGGTCTTACACGTTGCACCTGAATTATTCATCGAGTTTGTTTTTATTCTCTCTCGCATTCGTTTTGGGTTTTTATATGGGAACACCCTTAATGTTTATCGTTCGGCTATTCAATACATTGTTGTTGCTGTAGCTGCGACAGGCTGCAATGAGAGAAACGTGAGAGGAAGTTAATGTTAAATTCTTCTGCGCTTTTTCTATATTAAAGTTTCAACAAAAAAGTTAATGTGGCCTTTAGACCATATTTTGCAAGTTAATTAATTTGCTTAAGTTCTATTAAAACGGAAACAACATAGAAAGACAGGCAATGTTTCGGGTGTTTTTTTTTAAAGACAGGCATATTGATGCGTTATATCAAACCAACATGAGCTTGAAGAATGTAATATCCCAAGGAAAACGAAAATAACATTTTCGCTTGTAATTCTCAAGTTGTTTAAGCGTCTACTCAATTAACTTTCTTCTTTCATTGCAATCAATTCTGCTTTTTAAGTCAAATATTTGTTTGACGCTGACTTAAATCAATTATAAGAACAAAGAAACATACAAATTAAGGCTAAAAAGTAGCTATGCACCAGTCAGCATTTGGAAAAGTGCCCTTGAATAAGACTGGGAATTACCCTATCATAAAAAAAAATTCAATAATTCGCTTTTCTTGTAGAGTGTTATTTTGACAAGACAAAATATATATATTTTATTTTTTTTTTTAAGTTTTTTATAACCAAATTGTTTACTAATTTTGTTGATTTCAAAAAAATATATAGCGACAACTAGATACCCTTTATGCTGACAGGCATTTATCTGTTAATACTTTGCACACTTCTGACATACCCTTTTTACGTTTTATACAATTACAGAGTATACAAATTGTGAACTTTTTACTTTTTAAATTGGTTGTCAGTGCAACACGAAGCACAAAATGTTGCACAAAGCGAAAACTTTTTAATGACATTAGCAGCAAAATATTAAATATTCAAGATATTCGGCACACGTGCTAAAGGAAAGAGAAAAATAGAGGGGAGAGGGTGTGATGAGAGAGGGAGAGCTGAGAGAGGGAGAGTTTGGGAACGAAAGAGTGAAGTCTGCGTTTTTGCCTTTTCCCTGACAAGATGAAATTTTTGCTTTCGAGGTGTCGGCTGTCCTTTGATGCAGCCAGCGCTCTGACATGCTCTACATAGGTCTCGACTCATGGCTTTTGTATTACGAGTTTTGGTTTTTTTTTATTATTATTATTTCCACCCCGTGCATGTACAAATGTGTGCCACACATGGCCGCCCTTGAAAATTTGCTCTGTGTGTGAACATTATTTTAATTACCCAACCCGGGATCAGACCCGGCACGCACCCTGTCATTTAAGCCCTAACAAAGGTACACAAAGTGCACGTTACCCGGCGCCGGGCAGGAAGGCACATACGGAATTTACAACAGCTGCGCAGGCGCCGCCACAGACGTCAAAAATATTTTTTTTTTTTTTTTTCGATATTGGCCGTTTCACGTTTCTAGTTTTATGAGCTGCAATGTGTTGACAATAGTTTTATTTGCTTTTTACGCGTAATTATCGGGCGGATTTCGGGTTCAGCAAATGCACTTTGCGCAGCCAACGAAAAAAGAAGGCCTAGAGTATCAGAAAGAGATGCACAGAGGGTTGTCTATCAGAGAGAGAGGGCAGACAGCTGACTACACATGCTTGTCATTAATCTAACGATCCTATAACAAGGCTATGTTAATTATTGACTTTGTCGGGAACTGAAACAATGACAAATTGTGCAGTTGATTGCGAGAGTTGTTCCTAATGGGATGATATATGCTATAGGAGAGAGGAAAACTCCCCGAGCATCAACTAAGGGAGAATATGCAACATTTTGTGTAGCATCTATTAAAAGTGCTGCCATGAAAATCAGCTCTAAAAATAAATTTCATTTTTATAGGATTTTGTAAGTGGGAGAAAATTGAAAAAATCATTTCTATTCTAAGCTATGAGAAAACTAATGGGATTTAAAATTATTGAAATTTAAAATTTATTAAACTACAATAAAATAATAAAAAACATTTGAATCTTGGGTTATAAACCATTTGGTTTTTAAATTATCTCTATATATAAAACTGTTTGTCCTGACTGACTGACTGACTGACTGACTGACTGACTGACTGACTGACTGACTGACTGACTGACTGACTGACTGACTGACTGACTGATTGGTGATCAACGCACAGCCCAAACCGTAAGAGCTAGGAAGCTGAAATTTTCACTGTAGCTACCTTATGTGATGTAGGTGCACGTTAAGACGGGGTTTCGGGAAATTCCACTCGCAAGTGTGGAAAAATCGCGAAAAACGTTTGTATGTAACTTTTTTGTTTACCATCGGATTGGCCTCAAACTTATTTTCAAAGATCTTTGTTCAAATTCATTAAAGGGGTGTTTCACACTTTTTGAAAAATGCATTCCTCCTTGGTGGAAATAGAGGTCAAAGATTTGGTGGGTGACGTTTTGCGCTCAAATTCATTTCCAGAGATCTATAAGAAAAATCATTTGATACGTGTTTCACACTTTTCGCAGAATTCAAACTTCTTCGGGGGGAATGCGATTTAAAGATTTTTTGGGCGAAGTTTTAAGTTGTGTCCGATTTGCTTCAAACTTATTTTCAAAGCTCTAAATAAGAACTTAATAAATACGTATTTCAGCGATTTGGGAAATTCCACCCGCAACAGTGGTAAATTGGCGGAAAACGGTTGTATGAAAGTTTTTTGTTTACCATCCGATCGGCCCCAAACTTATTTTCAAAGATCTTTGTTCAAATTCATTTAAGGGGTGTTTCACACTTTTCGAAAAATCCGGTCCTCCTTGGTGCAAATGGGGGTCGAAGATTTGGTGGATGACGTTTTGTGTTCAAATTTATTTCCAAAGATCTATACGAAAAATCATTTGAGACGTGTTTCACACTTTTTGCAAAATCTAAACTCCTTCGGTGGAAAATGCATTTCAAAGATTTTTTTGGTGAATTTTAAGAGTTTTCCGATTTGCATAAAAGTTGTTTGATTCCCGTCCGATCAGTTTTAAAATCATTTTCAAAGCTTTTTTGATTTTATAACATACGTGCCACGGGCAAGGCCGGGTTATACCCGCTAGTCAATTAATTATTTTAATAAAATTTTAACCAATTTAAAAGTCATTAATGTCTGTTTCGGAAGAACTTGAGATACCTAATGGGCATGTTAGCTCCTGTATATATTATACATAAATCTGATTTAGTCTTATTTGAGAATAACAAGAAATGCTCTGCCCACATTTTTTAAGAAAATTTGAATTTTTTAGTATTTTTCGTTTAAGTTTATAATTAAAATTACTCCAAAAATGTACAAAAATATTCCGATAATCGACAGAGAAATTATTTTGGCAGCCCTTTGCCATGGAGCCAGTCGGCAAAAGGCACGCAAATACCTTTTGGAAATACCTTTCGGCTAAAAGTTGCATCAATCTAGTTTTAATTAAACACGGTACACATTTATCAACACAAACCCAACATTTCATAACTTTGTAGCGCGGTAAAAGCAGGCACAAAAAGAGGCGCACATATATTTTGATTTTGTTGCTGCAAATGTTGTATTTGATATTACGGATTTGATATTAGGGCTCATAAATTGGCTATGTGGCAATCAAAGTGGTCAAAGCATATTGGAAATATTTTGGTATATATGTGAATGTTGTTAGCAGCAAATATCAGGCATGTCGAGTGGCATGATATTAAATGGGCACAACGATTTTTTTGGTGTTGTGCGGGTGGGACTGAAGAGCTGTATATAGTAAATAAAATGCCATGAATTTTAATTGCATGCCATTGGCCAACACGGCACAGACAACAATACAACAATAAAAAAAATCAATAAAACTTGGCGAAGAGAAATAAATATAGGTAATATTGTCTATCAAAAAGCGACAATTAAAGCTTCATTAGGCAAGTTTTCTTCTCTGTTATTTTATTATTGCTTTTCTCATTCCTTTTTGGCATTGAGCGCATGCAGTTAATAAACGAAATGTTGAAGCACTTTTGGGCCAAACATTTTCAAAAATATTTATGACAGAACACAAAAAGAGCTGCCAGGCACAACACAAGCTTTTGTTAATACAAAAAAATGTGCTCTCCATTTGACTTTGCTGCGTTTATTTTTGTGTTTAGCTACTGAAACTTATTAAAATGCTGCCCAAATTTAAAATTCTAATAAACAATCTATGGCCAACGCCTTGGGTTATAATTCAGACGAAGATAAAAAATAAAATTATTGCCATAACCACAAAACGCGGCCGAATCCAGCTTCAAAACAGATGCACAGCAGGTGGTCCCAGGCGTCGATATTTAATCGATTTTAAATTGCGGCCAGCGTGTGGCTCTGGCGGGGGGCGGAGTAGGGGGTGTGGCTGCCAAAATATCCGCAGGCAATTGCTCAGCTCTGCTGCCCTTCTGGGCGTGGCAAAATAAAACAAATTATAAACCTTGCCCGGCGGCAACAACAGTGCTTTGCGTTTGTCCTAAAGCTTGGATTAAACTTTATTAAAATATTAACTAAAAACTAAACAAAAAAGTTTGATACTCGTTAGAGCTGTTTTAAGGAATAAATTGAATTGTGGTCTTTTAAATTATTCATAATTTTACTGGAAAAAGAAAATGAATAAACTATCTAGAGATTGCTAGACAAATCATATTTATATAATTTTGTATAACTCATATAAATATAATCTTGTACATATACAAAAAACGGTCCATTTATTTATGGCATATAAAATACAATTCCTGCATTTATGTAACCTAGCCCAATAAATCGTACAATATATTTCAGCTTCTATGCAAAGCAGACTCTATTTTTGCTCGCTTTTGTAATTCTCTGTATGGCTTTTGGCTGGCATTACGCATCAATCATTTGAATGGCTGCATAAATACATATATAAAGCAAATCAAATTCCAATATATATATATACATATACATAATTTATGCAGCTATGCCAAAGTAAAGCGCTGTGCATATTGGTCTGCAAACGCATTTGAGCGTGCCGCGTTTTTCATAAGACTTTGAAAAACGACTTAAAACTTGTTTTCTTATTCGCTTTATCTTTGCTTTTAATTAAGTGCCACTAAAAATTTGCGTTTATCTG